ACCTTTACCTTCACGTCTGTTGCCAGGAGGTCTGAGTAATGAGCTGCATTGACTGTTCTGGCATCTGTTAGAAAGTCTACATGGATGACCCCCTTCCAGTCCCAGAAGAACGTTGCCATCACTTTTCCTGCCGAACAGCTCCTCCGCACTCCCCTGGGTTTGGGAGAACTGGTATGCCACCACTCGCGTGATGACTGCTGGGACTCGGAAATGAAGTAGTGCACCCACGTTTCATCGGTGGTCACTATAGACTTGAAAAATGCATCACCATCTTCAAACTGCTGTAGGAGACAACTGGCTGCTTGCATGTGCACCATTTTATTCACGTCCATCAAAGTGCGCGGTACCCACCATGCATTCACCTTGCGATAGTGCACGTGGTATTTCACGATGTCGTCTACACTACCAACACTGATGGACAGCATTGCTCCAAGTTCCTTGATATTGATGCACCTATTCTCACGAATAAGCGCGTCTGCATGATCAATGTTTGGCTCAGTGACGGATATTAACGGGCGACAATCATGCGGTTCATTCTCCACGTGCTCTCTGCCCTCTCTGAAGCACTTATACCACTCAAAGCTACGGGTCCGTGAGAGACACTCTTCCCCATACTGTTGTTGGAGTCTGTGGTGAATTTCTGTGGATGAGATGTTTTCTCCAACGAGGACTTTGATCACGATGTGTTGTTCCACGCTCTGCGGTACCTTCTGTTCGCTCATCAGTGTAGCAACTCCCAGACAGGACTGAACAGGTTCTAACCCGAACAGGAGGGAGGGTGGAGGTTGTGGCTTCACTCTCAAGGTCGCACAGCTGCTGCACAGTGCGGCTTGTTTACACACAAATCAATCCCGGTCATATTTGAACCACCTTATATTATGCATATTCTTGTGGTAATGCATATATGCTTCATGTAGCTTTCATAATGTCCAGTTCAGTTGAAAAAATTGTAATGATTGTCATGTTAAGTTCTGTTTTATAACAGGGCAGAGCTCTGTGTGACATGTCCACCATTTTGGACTACTACAAGGGACAGTCCTCTATCTGTAGGAGCAGATCATCGCACACCAGTGCTTTCAGACAATTCAGATTGTGGTCTTCTGGGTTATGACACTGTGCTATCTTGTAGATGGGCATTAGGGCTTCAGAGGAATCTGCTGGTTCCATCTTCTGCCCTGAATATGGAAGAAGTAGGTTTTTCAAAATACTTCTAACCTCGTACAAGAGTCCACAGTGTTACAGCTCAAAATGTCACATTGTAAAGAATTTAGTTCAATTGTTAGTGTTTCATATACATGTGTTAATATGTAATGCTTAGTAGGTACGTCAAGTATGCAATTTTGTTTGTTGGGATGATTACAGTGACTAGTCCGCCCACTCGACAGGTTGGTTCCATTGCAGACCTTGATCCTGTCAACAATTTTTATGGCTCATTGGCAACAGACTACAGACCCCCTAGCAGTGGTGGAAGTGCCAACAATTACAATAATCATAATGTGAGCACACCCATCAGTAACCAGAATCAACAAACCAAGCTGACATCTTCAGGGGTAAGATCAGTGTCTGTACTTTCATTAACTTTATATGTCCATGTTATTCATTTATGGTTTATATAATGACACCAATGTCAGTAGCTTGGATTACTTGCATAGTGAACAAACAGTGAGATTATTAGTGAATAATGTATCAGCAAGGCTGTGGAAGGAAATGGTAGTGGCCTCAGATGAGGTACTGTCCTTCCATTTTGCTGAAGGGACTGGGGAAAAATCACAAAATATTTGTTAGGATAGCCAGTAATGCAAAGCCATGTTACCCTCTTGACCATGACATTGGTATATATAGGCTTGTGTTACATTTAATAGATGCATGACCCTGAAGTGTAACCTAGAATGAAGTCTTCCCACCTCGCCCTTAACTTTTAGGTATTTGTTGAACTTGCTGATGATCTGTAAAACCAGGCAGCTCCTTGTGGACCCAGCTTTCTTCCCATCACGGATTCCTAGGAGTCTGTTTTGGCATCTGTCACATTGTACTCGTATGACCTATTACTTGAGTTTACATGAGTTAGAATATGAGTGTCACATGTAGGGCAGTACATGTGATGAATAATTGTGGGTTCTGGTTCTGATGATTGGATTTATTGGCACTTCAGTTACAGTCTCTCTTAATTATAATTAATACAGCACTATCACTTATTTACACAATTTACAGTTCACCGTTGCACACGCACTAGGATTCTCAGTTTTCACTAGTCGTCTCCTAGCAATGGATCTCAACACATAAACTATCACTTCAGATCACTATGTAGTCTTCTTGCCATTTCTTGTTCAATCACCCTGGAACCTCCGAACTTGACTAAAAACTCTTCTGGACTCATTTTAGCTGAAAGCAGAGTTGTGTTATATAGTTGCGGCATGGACAACACAGAAAACACAGTTCTGTTATTGCATAGCGCAGACAACACAGAAAACAAGTCACGTGATAGCTAACTACTGTTGGAGTGTAACATCATTGAGCCTGCATAGAAATGTGTTTATTGAGCCGTTGCCTAGAAACAGGTTGCATAACCCCCCTTTTTTTTTTCGTTGTTGGTGTGTCTGTTAGAAACATCTGTTTCTGTGACTCATCCTTTCTTGCATGGGGCAATTCTTTACCATTTCTCCAAGAAGGTGTAAAATACTTGGGGGAAAATAATATTGGGTGAACTGTATACATGAACAGTTTTGTGTGTATGCACATGCAAGCTGACCAGTGACTTAGTCAGTGCTTCAGGATCTTATTCCTGAGGTTCATTTCCAGTTATAAATGTCACAGTTGTCAATGGTTACAGAGCTGTTGATGTTTCCTTTTGTAGTTTCAGTGCACATGCGCAAGCAGGCATGAAAGCTTGCTCAGTAGTTGCAAGAAAGTGGCACATTTCTGAGTGTACTGTCACTTGCTGAAAGTCCAATATGACATTGTGGAAGAGAAGAAGAAAGCACTATTCAAATTGCACAGTACAGTTCATGTGATAGTATTTAAATAAATTCTTCCTGTCTTCATGTTCTAAGTATTGAGAGTCTACCAAACATCACACGGTGAAGGACTGTATTAATAGATCCAGCAAATCAATGTCTGGAAGCTGGGGACATGGGTAGGAGGTTGGAATGCTGTTGTTTGATGCATTGATACATTTTACTTACTGCCAAGGCATAGTTTACCTGCAGTGAATCAGCGGTACTAGAAACTCCCTTTTTTGGGCTCATTAAAAGCCATGTAAAACAGTAGCAAGTAATTTCCTACATAACTTTTCTGTAAAATATGTAGTGTGGTATAATTGGTGAACATCTCATTGAATTATACATCTCCAAGGAATGTCTGGCAAGTAAAATTATGATAATTTTTGTAGAAACTGAACTGTTCGCCCTCTTAGAAGGTGCTTCTCTGCAATCGTGATACAGATTTCCAGCATGACAGGACCCCCCCCCACACAGACACACACACACACATTTCAGAAGAAAAGGAAAAATGGTACTGTACATTAGTAGTCCTCTGAATGCTGGATTGGCTATGGTGGTATGCAAAATTGACTGCCATGGTCAGTCAACCTTCCATATTGGATTTCCATGTGTGGGTTACATGAAAAATGTGGCATATAAATGCAGAGTAAACAAAAGAAGAGAACTAATTATTGATTTTTTAATGCTGCAAGACACATGAATGATGTTCTACATGAGGTTTACATTCCATGGACAAGTGCATCCAGACTGAAGGTGGCCATTTTTAATATTTATTAAACTGAATTGTACATTAATATTTTTTTAATAAAATCTAATTACATCTGTTCAGAACATCTTGAATTTCAAATATCGTAGCTCTGTAACCATTGGGAATTGGTCTAATGATCATCAGAAAGCAGGACCTGAAGTATATCACAGAACATCCCCACCCCCCTCTCTCTGCATGCATGCACAGGGGGGTGGGGAGAGCACTCCAAGGGGTGAGTGGGTGTGATCGTTATTAATTGAGACAGTTATAAGAACCTCATACAAATTCTGGCCAAGTATTTCTTCATCCCAAATCAAAATAAGGGTAAACAATCAAGTTTTGTTTTCACAAAATAAAAATGCTGCCACAATCTAAGGGGAAGGGCACACCAAAGAAACTGGGAACTGCAATTGAGTCGCAGTTTCTCAGAAAAGTCACCAATTTCAAGCAGGCAACTGGTTTCCAGATTAGTAGGTGCACACTGAACATTGGAATGTTGATTCGTTTTAATCAGGAAATATCGCTGTCACATGCAGTAGGAAATTTTGACATACAGTGCAACAGTTTTAGCAAGATAGAAGACACCTGATGAAAGCTGCATAGGGCTGAAACATGTAGTTTGGAAGAAGGGTGACTACATAATAAATTGCATTTAATGTGAAATAAATGACATTAATGCAGCAGGATCCTTCAATACAATATTATGAAAAGAAAACCATTTGGTGCATCTGTTCTTCTGTGACAATTTAAACTCAGATGCTTACATTGTTTCAGAAGAACTTAATCAGGATCTGACTTCTTTGTCTCATGAGAAATTCTTTCCCAAGTCAAATCTATTTTATCTTGCCTATCACAGCATAACCTGTGTGGTACTTGTCATATATACCAGACTCTTGCTCAGTTAACTGCACACAACAAATTAGCAGCTTCATAAACCTTTCATGCCGTCTTGAGAAACAGACAAATCACTGAAGCACATTATAGAACAGCTGACACTAGGAGACCACGCAGCAACACAGTTGTGAGAAGACTGGCACGCTCCATTGCCTGGAAGTTGAGTTTCTCAGTCTTCTGCTGAGTTGTGTTGTCGTTTCCTAAGTTTGCACTGCTTCATTCAGTACCATGTGTTCAACTGAGGCTTATAACAGTTCTCAGAAATTTTGGTTCCCTTGGAGTTGTCATTTTCCTTGGTGTGCCCTCAGCCTACACACCATTTCTTGGATGGTCTTGAGCAATAAAATGTTTGTGTTTCAGAGAATATACAAAGCAATGTATGACTACGATGCACAGGATTCTGATGAAGTCTCATTCAGGGACGGGGACCTCATTGTTAACTGCACACCGATTGATGAGGGCTGGATGACTGGGCTTGTCCAGCGAACAGGACAGACAGGAATGTTGCCAGCCAATTATGTGGAACCAGTAAACTAATGCACTACTGACATTTTCTTTCTGCTACACCACTGTTAGCATTTGGGGACACTGAGTATGGAGAAGGATGTTGCTTGGTTACGGTTTGTGCTTTAGTACTTGGAAGCATTCTCTAGGAGGTAGAGTTCTTTATTCAGCAGTTGGAAAATTTTTGTCAGTCATCTTTTGAGAGTGTAAACAAGTTGCTATGTTAACAGTAGCCATAGTCATTATATCTGTTGCTTATTCAACTTTTAAAATTGTTTTGTTTCTTGCATACTTCTGACTTGGTTAGGGTCGCTCGCATTTTTAATACTTCTCATGAATTTTCTTATTTTCAATCAAATGGAATCTGAAAACTTGTAAGAATTTATGTCATATATCCCATCTTTTTGCTTGATACTCTTGTTCATCAGAGTTTATAATTTTAATTGTTATGTGAAACCTTACTAAACGTTGAAAACTTGGATGTAAATGTATTCTGAGCATATACATCTGAGTTAGCTGTGTATATCTGATCTGCCCAAGATAGATGTAATATAGAAATTATGGCATGGAGAAAAATTTTAAAATAAAAATTGGGTTGAATAAGTTTGAACTTCTCACACTGCCAGACTTGTAACAAATCCAGTAGTAATAAAGTGTCAAAACAGTTTAGCTGTAGTAGTGTTGACAGCGTGTGTAATGGGATAAATGCTATAGACAGTTAAGAACTGTTGTGTTTTATAGATATATTAGCTCCCTGTTTATAGGTAAAACAATGGACATTGTTACAAGCTGCATGAGTTGAATGACCATGGTTATGCAGTGAAACTTGCTGGTAATAGAATTCAACATTTTTCAGTTTAACACATAAATACTGTGAACAAACCACTTATATATTTTATCAATATCACAAGTTACAAGCACAGGCTTCAAATGTATAGTACACTGCTACTGAGCAGTACACATTATCAGGTTTGTTTCTTCCACTTTTTTCTCTTTTCTGCCTTTTCTTTCTTCTTATTTCATTCAGTACTCTCAGGGGTGGATAAATATTCCAGTAGAGGTGAGTTTCTCTGTAATCCAGGTTATATTTTAAACCAGTTTTACTGTACTACAAGTGATGATTATAATGCTGAGGTAATGTTTTTTTAGTTAAATATGCATTCATCAGGGTCAGAACTGCTATGTACCATTGTCAGTTTGTCTTCAAATGCTAATGGAAGTCGAAGTGCCTGATTTCAGTGTACTATTGTACCTTTTTCTTCTTTACTATGTGATCTTCCAATGCCTTAACCCATACTTTATATCCACAGAAAATATTTAGAGGTTATGTATAGTATTATGTCTGTTGCCATGTGGACATTGTTAATATTTCATGTACTTGCCTTTACTGAGCTTCTTGGTAGCAGTTACACAGGTGTGGGATATGTAATATGTGTGTTTGTTGGTAAAATGAAAGCATCGACTTACTGTCATGAGTTCAGGGAATTTTTTTATACATTCTAAAGGGTTCTGTCAATGGTATATAATATTCAGAATTACTAAGTTTTTGGACTTCGTCCATCATCCAGTGATTGAGGTTAGCTCTTTCTAAGGGACGCAACAGAGTAGGTGTCTCCCACCCACACCTGGAGGCAGAAACAGATCCAGTTTCCAAAATGTTATGTTTTCTAGTTTGTAGAATACCTGACAATAGACAAAGACTGAAAACCCAGTAATTCTGGGAAATTATTATATGTTTTGTGATGAATGGGACCTCTGGCTGCAGAATGGCGCATGTTGTTTGTAATGTGTAACAGTTTTTATTAAATAAGAAATTGGAGATTGGTAGCCCTCACTGGGTTTCGACTTGTATATGTGAGGAATGCTACGCTGTATCACATGAGGCAATGTGTGGTGAAGCAATCAGAAGTATTTCTACCTTCGTATATTTAGGAGCTGTTGGCATTTGGAATGAATGACCTAGTAAGTATACTACTCAGAAGGTTTGCAAACTGTAGATGTGTCTACTGGACTGCCTTTCTCATATGAGAACTATTGTTTCTTTTGATAAATGTTAGCCTCAAGTTAATCTAAATCTATAGAATTAAAATCAGAATACCATATGTTTCAGTTATGTGTGACATATTGATCTAAATTTAAAGATAGAAACTGTTTACTTCTTATTTTTAATGATTCCAGTTTCTGTGCTCATTTGGCAGCTGGACATCTTGAAGTTTCCCATGAAATAGGAAGTGCTGAAAGTTATTGATATAATGCCTATATGTATGAGGAGCTATCAGTAAGTCATGACAGCTGTTTATTTTTAATAGTTCTGATGTGGATGTTACTCAGTTGATAGTTAAATTAACAAACTATATTTCTTTCCAATATAAGGCTGCTCGTGCGGCTATACAACTGGGTTATGAGAAAGCCACAGAGCAGAGACTAGAAGATATAAATTTCTTGTGTCACAGGCTGGCTAACTTCTGTACCTCAGTCCCTGTCACAACTTACAGCATAATGCCTAGTTAAATATTCTTAAATCAAAAGTATTTTGTTAATATATATACAGCGTATGTTCTGAAAAGCTGTTATATGCCATTCCTATCATGTTAACAATTCAGAAATATGTGTGTTAGTGTCTTGTTCAAAAGTGTATGCAGCAGAGTACATATAAACTGAGGCCAATGTCCAGGATTTAATTTGGGGAGGTGTTCTGAAAAATCAGTTAAGTAAACATTGTTTTGTAATGTAATTCACAAAGAAACTACTGTATTGACAGAAATTTCATTTGCACTGTTAGCGTTTTTTATTTTATAACTATGAAATTTGGCAGGACGCTCCTTTTCTGCCTTTGTATATCCAGATATCTCAGAGGTGAGGTTTGAACCCATAAAACCACTGCCATTGATCCTTGACTTGCTGTTCATATTCTCTTGTACATTACATAACACTGTGAAGGTGAAACACTGCAGAATGGTCAGAGACATGCCGCGTGTTTTACAAGTATGCACTATATGCAGTTCATATTCACCATTTGAACTGGTGAAATGAATTATGGAGAACAGATTGTGTGTGTGAAATCCATTATACATTAATTTCACTTTTCTGTGCATCACTAGAATAACTTGAGGAAAACCCTTCAGTTGTTACATATTTAAATGATCTAAAACTTATTACAAATGTTCAGAGTGAAATATAGGTTTGTTTCATTCATTAGAGATCCATTTTGAAGGTAAGCCTATGTTCCATTCACTGTTGATATAATGAATGTATCATATGAAATGAATTCAGCCTATTGCGCCATTTTTTTTTCAAAGAACGCCATATGATTTCACTATTATACGCAGCCTGTTTGTGCCTGCATATTCATTGAAATTTGTCATAAATTGCCATTCATTACAGAAACATATAATAGAGCGTAATAAATTAGAACTTAATAAATGCATATATCACCATATCATTATGCATGTTTAGGAAGGGAACAGCTACACATAAATTGTTCAGAATTTTTAAAATAATTATTTTATAAGCTACAGAGGTGGAGAAATACATAAATTTGAGTCTTAAAAGGTTTTTTTTTTTTTTCTAAAAGACTGATGAATTAAATTGAGAAGAATATTCAACCTTACAAATTTACTGGGGGAAAAGTCTTTTACAGGAAGCTTCCAGTTATCTAGTATATGTAGGGAGTGGAATGTGTTGGTTATGTTGTATGGGGGGGGGGGTGAGGGGGCATTAAGTGCCCTGCAGATTGAGCAGTGAAATATTTCAGATGTACTGTGATGTGATCATAAATTCAACTAGCATTTGCTGCAATGGCAGCTCTGTGAAGGGCAGTGCTACCAGTGATGGTTATGAAAATTACCATGTTGTAGGTGACTATATATACGTAATTTTAAAATGTTTTGTATGTGGTAAGTTTTCTTTGAAATGCTTGCAAGGTATTTGAGTACCAGATAACAGGAAGTTTACTGTATTTTGTGTGTTTTGAAAGTGTGACAAATTTTCATAATTGTGATTATGCTTGTAATCTGGTTATATCTTTTTTCTCCCAGTAGGATGTCAAAAATTTATTGTTTTTCAGTACAAGAGATACTTTGTTTATTGTACAAAAGATAGGTGTGTATAAATATCTGAAACATAAATTTTGGGAAGTTCCATAAACTTTATTGATTTCATCATGTATTTGAATTTATGTCTGATCCTGGTTTTCAAGAATATATAAGTTGCATGTATACATAATTAAATGATGTATCAGATGTTTCAGTAATCAGTAACTTATTATCCAATTAACCTTCCAAGTAAACACCTCCTCCCCTCTACCAGTACCTTTGTTAAGTTCCATGGACTGTTACAGGCTTCCAGAATTGTGACTTATAATAAAGTGGTTCCTACATTACACAGTGTGGCCTTAAAAATGCTTTAAGACTGGTAATCTACATAATAACTGTTAAACATACATTTATAATTTTATGAATAGTGAACTTTATGGAGCTACTTGCTATTTTGTAACAGTTTATATCAGGGTCGTAGATATTGTGTGGAAGTGTTGCTGTAAAATTGTGAATGGTAGTCCTACTTCTCTGTTGTGTAGATGTGTGTGTGTATGCATGCCATATCCTGTGCCATAGAACTGCTTTATTTCAGGATTCCTCAGAAATGTGTGCACATGCGCAATTGAAAGATGAATGTGTGTTTGTGCCTATGTCTGTATGAACTCTGGGCACATTCATTGTAGCCCAGTTTAAGTTTCTAAAGTATTTTGCTTATGAGTAACTTCAAGCTCTTAACAAGCCCACTGAGAGACTTTCCCAGTAACAATAAACATGCCTAAAGACATCAGTTATGAAACAATAATGTTACTTTAATGTTTAAGCTGCCTTCGCAACAAGGTTTACAGATGTCTAGCCTAGCTATAAGTGTGAATTTGTACAGAAGAATAGTGTAAATAACAGGCAGGAATGTGCATTAGATTTTGCATATTGTTAACCTTTACTGGGGCATTATTGCGATGGTCCATGCATGTGCGCCTGTATGTCTGACCCAGCTGGCTGAGTGTTGTATTTTTCACTATTTAATACTCCTGAGTTTAAATGTGGCTCCCAGCCCTATAGAACTGCAAGGTTTAAAATCCCACATTCTTGGACAGTATGATTTTATCCCAAAATTAAAGTATGGCCTCAGCGCCCTTAATACTGGGATATTTAAGTCCCTATTCTTGAACAATAAAGAGTAACCATTTCCAGTCAGTTGTCAATATATAATCAACATGGTGACTGTGCTTCCATGGACAAATGTCGATATACTATCAACAAAGTTTCTTTCATGTTGTTATGGTAATATTTTGATCATATGTCATTAGTTGGCACTGTAGACTATACCAGGCATGCATGAATGTTTCATCTGTCTCCTCCTGCCATCTGGAAATCATAATTGCCCATGTTGCACCAACTTTCCAGGCAAAACAGTTCACTTAGTGGCCTGGCAGGCATTTTAATACTCCTGACGACCTTGCTGCAGAAATTTTTCTATAAACGCAATGACTGGAAAGGGTTAATATGGTATCATATAATGATTCACATGTTGTACAATGGCTCTGGGAAATTTGAGGTAAATGTTAGTATTGAGTTTGCTGCATGTATGCTGTTGGTTTTGTC